ACCTTCCTTCCCTGAGCCTCGGCCTCACCTGGAGCACGGGGCTCTCACCTGGATCTGTGCTCTGCCCTACACATCATGGAAGGTGCTTACGCTGCGGGCACCAACTCAGGGCCCTGTTCTTCCTGAGACAAGAGGGGAGCTAAGGGAAGACGTCGACGTGAGGAGCTGTTGCGTGGATGAAGGAGGGTCGCCAGGCCGCTGCTCCCTCAGCAGGGAGAGAGCTACCTGCCTGCGTGGGCCGCGGGCGCCCAGAAGGCCAGGCCCGGGGCTTCCGTTACACGCCGTGCGGGCTGCAGGTGCTCCTGCAGGTGAGAAAGTGGGACGCTGCCTAGTAAGCCTCGCGGGGCCCTTGTCCCCGCCCGGGCCCTCATAGCACCAGGAGCTGGCTGGCTTTCTACACTCGTGGGGTTTTTTAAGATTTTATTTATTTATTTTTTTCGGGGGGTGCGAGGGAGAGGGAGACAGAGTCTCAAGCAGAGTCCCTGCTGAGCCTGGAGCCCGACCCGGGGCTCGTCTGACCACCCTGAGATCGCGAGCTGAGCCGCAGTCAGGAGTCCGGCGCTTAGCCGACGAGCCACCCCAGGTTTCCATACTCGTGAGCGGGAGCCCCCCACGGCCGCCGTGCACTCGCCTGCGGACGCCAGGACAGCGTCACTGTGCCGGGTACACGGGGGTACACGGGGGTACACGGGGTACAGACGAGCTCCGAGGCTGGGAGCAGAGGCAGGCGCTGGGCGTGCGTGTGCCCCGCGGGGCCTGAAGGCGGCCTCTCCGGGCGGCTCAGGCTGGTGGGTGGGCACACGGCGGACGTGGAACATCGAGGGGACGGCAGTTGCCGCTCCTGGAGATCGCGGTCCGCGGGGAGCGCTGCCTGGCCCGCCGGCCTCCTCCTCCTCCTCCTCCTCCTTGTTCTTCTTTTAAGATCTTATGTACTTATTCATGAGAGACCCAGAGAGAGACAGAGACGCGGGCAGAGGGAGAAGCAGGCTCCATGTAGGGAGTCGACGTGGGACTCGATCCCGGGACCCCGGGGTCACGCCCTGAGCCGAGGCAGACGCTCCACCGCTGAGCCCCCCCGGGGCATCCCAAATTCTCTGATTTCTTAACAGAAGCTGGAAAATCCAGGTTATGAACATCGTCCTGGTCATAGAAAGTCGACAACTGCTCCGTGTCGGCACGATTGCTGCGGATGTGTGCGGCGGGGGCACGGGGCGGCCCAGGGGAGCGCTGGGGCCGCGGGGCGCAGGAGCCGGCCTGGGACCCGGGCGGCCACTCAGGGGCCTCCCGGCTTTCGTGCTCTGCTCTGCTGTGGCCATTTGGGGATTTTTATGGACTTTTAACAGGCGCCCTGGTTTGCATTTTGCACGGCGCCCTGCAGCTTACGCACCTGGTCCCGACTGGAGGGAGGGTCTAAGCCCGCCTGGTGGGAGACGGCGAAGGGGGGCCGGAAAGGCTTCCAAAAGGGGGTCGGGGGGCTCAGTTGCTTGAGCTTCTGATCCTTATTCAAGTCTTGATCTCAGGGTCGTGAGATCGAGCCCCAGGACCTGCCGGGCGCTGAGTGTGAAGCCTGCCTAAAACCTCCGCCCCCCTTCCCCCTCCCCCCTTCCCCCTCGCACCCCACTCCCCCTCTTCCCCTCCCCCTCCTCCTCTCTGAATAAAACCAAACCAAAACAGTGGGGTCCGTTGTACCTGAGGAAAGAGATGGGCCTTGTCAACACAGGGCTGGGGCAGGGCGCACCTGGGGTTTAACGCCCTGGGGAGGGAGGTCGAGGCTGTGTGTGTGTGATGTGTGTGGACATATGAGTGTGGGGTTGACACATGACCGTGGGTGTGGGTGTGGGTGTGATGTGCACGGGTGCAGGTGTGCGGGGTGTGGGCCGTGAGCATCCCACCTGTGGCGGCGCAGGCACGTGCGTATGAGCGGGTGAGTGGGGGGTACGAGTGGAGCATGTGCATGTCAGTGATGCGACGTGTGTGCACAGGCCCCGGCCGCCGGCAGGGAGAGGTGCCCACAGACACCTGGAGGAGGACGGTGCGCTGAGCACACACGCGGCTGCTTGACCGCAGCCCCAGGAGGGCAGGGAAGGGCAGCGCTGCCCTGGCCCGGGGGAGACGAGGCTGTGGGGAGAATCCGGGGGCTCACCGGGGAGGCGACTCGCCCAAACACGGGAGGGGGCCGCCCTCCCACCCACCCCCGGGGAGCAGATAAGAGGTGACTCGCAGCCGGGCAGGCCGCACACACCCGGGCAGGCTGCACACTCCTGGGCAGGCCTCACACACCCGGGCAGGCCGCACACAGTCGGGCAGGCTGCACACACCTAGGCAGGCTGCACACACCTAGGCAGGCTGCACACTCCTGGGCAGGCCTCACACACCCGGCAGGCCGCACACAGTCGGGCAGGCCGCACACAGTCGGGCAGGCTGCACACACCTAGGCAGGCTGCACACACCTAGGCAGGCTGCACAAACCCGGGCAGGTCACACACACCCGGGCAGGCCGCACAAACCCGGGCAGGTTGCACACACCTGGGCTGGCCGCACACACCTGGGCTGGCTGCACACACCTGGGCTGGCCGCACACACCTGGGCAGGCCGCACACACCCGGGCAGGCTGCACACACCCGGGCAGGCTGCACACACCCAGGCAGGCCGCACACACCTGGGCTGGCTGCACACACCCGGGCAGGCCGCACACACCGGGCTGGCCGCACACACCCGGGCAGGCTGCACACACCCGGGCAGGCTGCACACACCCGGGCAGGCCGCACACACCCGGGCAGGCTGCACACACCCGGGCAGGCCACACACACCTGGGCTGGCTGCACACACCTGGGCAGGCTGCACACACCCGGGCAGGCTGCACACACCTGGGTAGGCCGCACACACCTGGGCTGGCTGCACACACACCGGGCAGGCCGCACAGAGCCCAGGGGCAGGCCGCACACAGCCAAGGAGGCCACACCCAAGGAGACGCCCCCTGCACAGCCGCAGGGCCCATCTCTGCTGGGGGTGGGTCCCCTGGTGGCTGGGGTGGGGTGGGGAGGAGCGGGGGTGGGGGTAAAGGTGGCTGACACCCGCCAGAGGGGACAGCGAGGAGGGAGAAGGAGAAAGGGCAGCCTCAGGGTCGGACCTGAGCCCTCCGGGGCCTAAGGGGGAAGTGGGTGGAGAGCTGCTGGGGGAAGGCCCTGGCCTCTGCTGTCCCCCCCAGGGGCCCCCCAGGCTGCAGCAGGGGGACCTGTGCCTGAGGTCCGGCCCTCACTCCACTGGCCAGGGGGTGACCTTGGCCTGGCCGCGAGCCTCCGCAGGGACACGGGGACGCCCAATCTCCTCAACGGGCTGTGGTGTGGCTCAAATGAGATAATGGGGTGAGGAAAGCACCTCATAAACCAAAAAGGGCGGGACAAAGGTCAGAGTGGAACGCTGGGCCCCGTGCCACCTCCCAGCCCTTGGGCGGAGGGTGAGGGGCTTGGCCCGGGCCCGGCCCCCTCCCTGGGGGGACCCTCGGGTGAGCACCCACGGCCAGCGGCTCCGCGTCAGCGCGGGGGACACGGAGCGTGGGGGCAGCTGTGCAGCCTGCACCTGGCAAGGCGCCGTCGGGTGGCAGGGGTCCCCTCGCTGTCGGGCCCGAGGACCCCAAGACAACAGGGGTGGAGAACCCAGCGCGGCACATGGAGCATCTTCATTCCCAGGAAGTGAGGTCATTCTTGGGCCGAGATGCCGCCGAAGGCTCCAGACCAGGTGGCCTGACCCGCGGGGAGCCCAGGGTCTCCCCAGCACCTGCGCCCTCTCCCTCGCCCACTAACCTGCTTGTGCCGCAGAAGCAACCCCGGCTCCAAAGGCGTTTCTTCTCCCAAAGAAGATCCGGGGTCCTTCCACGCCAGCTGCCCCACTGGCCCCGTTACCTACTCGTCCGGGGCTCCGCAGAGCGAGGCCAGCTGTGCCGCCGGGCCGCGCCCCCCTCACCCCGCCCTGCGGCCAGTGCTCCGGCGTCCCCGAGGCCCCCGAGCGTCTCCAGCTCGCAGACTGCCTCGTCACTGTCACCGGGTCCGCGGCGCGTGGAGCCTCCCACGTGGGGCACTTCCCACTGGACGGCCCACACCCTGTTGGGGAAGCACCTGTCCTGCACCCCCTGCGGTGTCACCGTGGAGACAGAGCAACCCGGGTGGGGACGCCACCGTGGGATGAGGCCAGGGGAGCCCTAACCTGGGGCGCCGCAGGGGGAAGCGGCCGTGGCCCCAGGGAACCGCCCCGGCTGGCTCCCCGGCCCTATGGACCTCACTTTGTGCATCTGTAATCGGGGCGGCGGCCGTGTCCTGGCTCCGCGGGGCCCGGTGGGCTGCAGGGCACCAGGCTGGCGAGCGGCCGTCCCCCTCCCCGTCCTTCCTCGGCCTTGGCGGGCGCGTCTCCGTCCGCTGCCTCCGTGTGCGGCCCTCGGGGCTGGGGGCCCAGGCATCTGCGCCACGGGGCTCAACACCCAATTCTGAGCTTCTGGAGGTCGGCCAGGAAGCAGGGCCCGGGGCTGGTGGCCGAGGCGACCGGGCGAAGGCGTGACGGCAGCAGGGCCTGTGCAGGGCTCCCTGCACGGAGCCTGGGAAGCTGGCTCGGTGTCACCTGTCTCCTTCGCTGGCCTCCAGGCCCCAGGGCAGCTTGTCTGCAAACCAGGCCTCCCGCCCTAGGACACCTGTCCCTACCCCTGCACCTCTAGCCCAAGACCTCCCGCCCTGGCCCCTCCTCCAACCCCATGACCTCGTCCAATCCAGAGGCCCGAATTTCAGCGCGTGGTGAGCTAAGACAGAGGTTAGAAAAGCCCAGAAGACACTTTATTGGAGGTCTCTGCCTCCATCCACAGGAGGAGGAGCCAGGAGCCCCATCCTGAGGGTCCCAGCATCTCCCCGCCCCTCGCTGGCCCGGCCCAGGGCCCAGAAGAGTCAGTCTGACCACTAACACGTGGTGGGAGAGGAGCGGGGACGGGAACGTCTTAGAAAAAATAGATCTCTATGTACATCTGACGTATTTATAGCACATAAATTAGGGAGTGCTCTGACCCCTGCCTGCGGAGTCCAAGCACTGGGGTGGGAGCCAGTCCAGAGGGCAGGTGCCCGAGGCCCCTCCGTCCCCATCTCGCAGGCCTCTGGGGCTTCCCCCGGCCCCGTGGCTCAGTCCAGGCGTCTGTAGGAGGAACGTCGTGTCTGCGGCTGCTGTCTGGGTCGGGTCTGAGGACACGTCGGGTCAAAGGAGCTGCCCCGGCAGCTACGGTCAGCAGACGAGCCGCCTCCAACCCCAGGGCTCGTAACTCCAGGAGGAGGGCAGACAGGAGAGGCCACAGCCCCGGATCCCAGGATGACGGCAGAACGAGGTGCCGGACGTCGGCATCTCTCCACAGCGCGGCCGAAGCCCGCCCAGGTGGGGCCCGGCGGTGGGGCCCGGCGGTGCTCCCGGGAGGGCCCGCGGGCTCAAGTCCGTGCGTTTGGTCCTGGGTCCACTTCAGGCCCTCAGTTCCGACTCCCGGCAGCCTCTTCCTCCTTCCAGCCGCTGGAGTTTTTGCCGAACTTGTAGACCAGCCGCCGGCCGTCCACCCGCTCCAGGATCCCCCGTTTGTAGTAGTACCTGCGTGCGGAGAACGGCGCTCAGAGGCGTCCGGGTAGGGAGCCGCCGGGCCGCTCAGGCCCTCCGCCGGCCGCGTCCTCGGTGCGTGACCCGCCCCACCGCTGCCAGCCTGAGCCTGAGCCGCCTCCCGGAGCTCCCCCGTCTTCCCCCCTGCAGGGAGGGGCTGCCTCTGCCCCCCTAGCGCACTCCGAGCCTCGAGGACCCGCCTCTACCCCGGCTCCTCTGTACCTTGGGGCTCTCTCCTGGGGCTCATCATGAAACCACATGGTCTTAGGGTTGGAAGGGACCTTAGTGATAATTCAGGGGGAAACTGAGGTCCAGACAAGCAATTTCCTTGATTCAAGGGGGGAGCCCGGGCTTGGTGTAGGCCGCATGGCTCACGCTCTTTCTACCGGCAAGAGCTTTCCTCAGGACGAGCCTCGCAGGTAGTGCAAAGAGGTGCTGCCAGGGGAGGTTTCCTGTGCTTGCCCTGCAGCCTCCTGCCTGCTCCGGGCCACCCGGGGGCAGGCCCTACTGTTACCCTCGCTCTCCAGGACGCAGGCCTGGGGGGGGGGCAGGGACGGCTGGGGGAGCAGAGCCCGCGGGGCCCCCCGGCTTCGCCGCGTCACCAGGGCCGGGCACCCGCTCACCTCATGGCTCGGCTCAGCTTCTCGTACGTCATGCTACTGTTTTTCTTCTTCTGGCCCCACAGCTGGGCCACGGCCTCTGATCGCAGGAACTTGAAAACACCCTCTTGCCGGTTCTCCCACTTCATGAGGCCTTCGTTGAGCTCTGGGTGGATGAGGATGTCCCGGATGAACTCCCACAGGTGGGTGCCTCTGGGGGCTGCAAGGCCAGACGCGTCAGCCGGCGGCCCAGGTGGTCCCTCGCCCCCGGGCCCATCCCAGCGCCCTGCCCACGGGCGGCTCCCTCCACCATCACACGCAGCACAGATGTTTTACTCGCTGCCTGGCGGGGACCCGATGGGGACTGAGGCACGCTACTGCCTGAAGGAGCCCGCGGTTGGGGGGTGCCACCGTCAAAAAGCAAACACCCCGACGGGCGGCGAGAGCTTGGCGAGTATGGGGCGAGAGCTGGGCCCCGCCTGGGGGACAAGAGGGCAGCTTCCTGGAAAAAATAGCCAGGGAGCCGGGCCTAGCGTGGGGGGGAGGGAGACTCGGGGAGAAGGAGCTCGGGGCCTTCACCCCGCAGCTCCCAGCAGCCGGCTGGCTCCCACCAGGCCCCGAGGCCGGGCCTAGAGGCCGTCCCAGCAGGCGGGACGGAGCAAGTGTGCAGAGAACTGGAGTGGGGGGTGGGCTGGGAATCTGGGCTCTCGTGCCTCAGTTTCCCCTCCCCTCCAGCACCCCCAGCCTAGGCTCTGCGACGAGCCGGCGACCCACACACACAGCCTTGCCCTGCGGACCGTGACAGTGGGACGGAGGGGCAGTGTGTCCAGCCGGGGACCACGGGACAGCACGGCACCCGCGGCGCCGTAGGGAACCTGCCGCCCAGGCCGCCGCGCAAGGGGCCAGGAGCTCACCGTGCTTGCTCTTCTTGCCCTCCAGACACTCCCGAGACTCCTTGCTCAGCTTGCGGGGCCGGCCCCGTTTCCGCTTCCCGTGCTTAGGGTCTCCCTTCTTGTAGTCAGGAAAGCCGTCTGCGAGGGGGGCCGGGGTCAGGTGGGGTCAGGCGGGGAGGCCTGGGGGGCCGGGGCAGCTGCGAGCAGGGGGGCAGCCCTGCAGGCAGCAGGCATGAGGGGACAGACCCGCCCCAAGGGACACTCCCTGCACTCACCCCTAGCGAAGAGCTTGCTGTCAGTGGGATCCAGGTCCACGTCACTTCCACCGGAGTCTGAGGAGTGGGGGCTCTGGGAGGTGGCAGTCCCTAGGGAGGCGGGGCCGGGGTGAGCTCCTGGGGTCTCAGGCCCACCCCCACCGGCTCTGTCCCTCCCGGGAAGTGCAGGGAACCGGGGCTGAGGGCTGGGGGGAAAGGGAGGCTGCGGCCCAGGCCAGGACGCACCTGCGGTGGAGACGTCGGAGCTGCCCGGGGAGAGGGCGCCGGGGCCGTAGCTGCCGGGGAAGTAGGGGCCGGCCTGCCGGCTCTCCTCCAGCATCTCCTGGCTGAAGGGGCTGCCCTGGTCTGGGAAGAGGAGGCGAGGGCTCAGACGGGGCCGGGCCCGAGGACCCTGGAGCTGGGGCACACTGGGCGGGCGGGGGCGAGGGCTCTCACCGAAGGGGCCCAGGCTCTCCTGGAAGGCCATGCTGTCCTTCTCCAGCAGCTCGATGATCCAGCTGAGCTCGTCAGGGAAGCTGGCGGCTGGCGGGGAGGAGGGCGGGTCAGAGCCCCGCTGGCGCCCCCGTCCCGCCCCCCGGCCCCGGCGGCCGCACTTACTGAGGTCCCACAGCTGGGAGTACAGCTGGTCCCCCAGGGGCCCAAAGACCAGGCGCAGCTCCTCGGGGGCGCAGTTGCACAGCGTGGCCCCGTCCATGTCGCACCGCGAGAAGTCGATGGCGCTGGCGTCGTACTTGTTCTTCTCCACCTGGTAGCTGATCCAGTCCAGAACCTGGGCCTTGGACCACAGCTGGGGCTGCTTCCCCGACCAGCTGGCCTTCTCTGCAAGGCGCGGCGCGACGTCAGTGGCCTGAGCCACCCGGACCCTCACAGCCCATTTCTGGTGCCGGTTCGGGCTCTTGCGGGCACTGCCCCCTGCCCCCCGCCCCACCCCCCAGTCCCAGGAGGGGCGGCGGGGGCGCCACTCCCCACAGCTTCGCCCAGCACCTCGTAGCGGCCGCTGCCCCTCCACCCCCACATCTCAGCCTCTTGCCAGCGCCCTCGCCCCTAACGCTGGAAGAGGAGGACCCTCTTCCCTGCCGCCGGCCGTGGATCTAACAGGCTCTTAGCCGGTGACGGTGACGCTCCCTCCCTTCCACGCCCCATCCCACCTGCTGAGACCCACCTGTGCCCTCCAGCGGCATCTGGGGGTTGCTCAGGGTCAGCACCAGGTCATCGGCTCCAAAGGCGGCGGCAGGGGGCGCAGAAGCCAGGGCGGGGTCCTCGGAGCTGTACATAGCACTGAAGTAGTTGCTAAAGACGTTGCTGATCTCGCAGGTTGCAGCCATGAGGCCACCTGGGGCAGAGGCGGAGGCCAGGTGAGGGCCAGGGTCCTGCCCTTTGCCCTCCGGCTCTTCTGCTCCGGCCCAGCCCCCGGGGCAGGACCAGCCCCAAGGGAGGTGACGGGCAGTGTGTCCGCAGTGTGTCCCCGACGCCCCCTCTTCGTGCAGGGCTCCCAGGTCTCAGGGCCGCGGTGGGCGCCAGGCCTCCTGCTGCCCCCCCACACCCTCGAGTAGGATGGGCAGCGGGGCCACCCTGTCCCTCCCAGAGACAGTGCCTCCGAGGCCTCCAGGCCGCTCAGGCTTAGGCCCCACGGGCGGCTCTAGACCCCCGTCGGGTTTCCCAGGGCCCGGCCCCCGAGGACGGTGGGCGTCCTACCTGGAGGCGGAGTGTGGGTGTGGCGGGCGGCGGCAGGGACAGCAGGGACAGCAGGGACAGCAGGGACAGCGGGCAGGTGGGGAATCCAGGAGGGAAGAGCCGCGCCGGCGCTGGCCAGGAGCTCGGCGGTGTCTGGCCCGCGCGCCCCCTCCCGCCCTAAATAGAGGCGCGGGGCTCCTCCCCAGCCCGGCCCTTATAGCGCCTGGCGGTAACCTGAGCCGGTGGCTCATTGGATGGAGGGGATTTCCTGGCCTTTAGACTGGGCTTCTGGCCCCAGGTGATTTGCATATTTTGTGCCACTTGGCCCGGATCCTGGCAGGCGGTGCTGGGAAATCAGGCCCGGCTGGTTTAATGATTGTCAGAGTCTGTCATCCCGCACCCTCTGGGGTTGGGCACAGGGCACGGGCCTGGGCGGGTGGCAGGAGCGCCGCTGGGGTGGTGCAGGAGACCCCCCGGGGGCCAGGCCGCGAGGGGCTGCGAGGACTGCTGGTCCCCAAACGGGCAGAGACCCGAGGACCGGGGCCGGCGGGGACAGCAGACGGTGGGGTTCAGGGAATTGACGCACAGCGCCGGGGTTCCCGAGGCTCCCCAGGCCGGGCCCTTTCCTGAGCTCACACTGGGCGGGGGCCCGGCCTGCCAGCCTCGGGGCCGCGTGTGCCCGAGCCCCGGAGCCTGCGCCCTGGTGGCGCGTCGGAGCCCACGCGAGCATCAGCACTGCTGCAGCCGCCCGTGCGAGGGCCCGGGCCGTGTTCAGCCCCCGTCGGGTCTCCCTTCCAGCCTCCGCCCCTCGCCCTCCGTCGCCGCCGCCGGGCACCTGTCTGCTACCCTCTAGTGGCCAGAAGCCTGGCTCCCTGGAGGAAAGGGGACTCTCCCACACCGGGTACGACACCGACACGGACACCGACACCGACACCGGGTAGTCCTGGCCGCCGGGGGGCCTCCCGGGGCCTGGGGTCCCCTCTAAGCGCGCAGACCCCGCCGGAGACCCTGACACGGCAGCACGGACGGGGAGGAGGCGGCCCCAGGCCTGCGTTCAGGCGGCCGCCCAGCTACGCGGTTCCGGGGCCTCCCCACGGGTAAAAACACGGTTGTTCACGCTTAATAGCCCCTAAGGTCTCCTCCAGACTAGTTCTCTGCATCTGGGATGTGGGAGCTGGGTACCCCTCCCACGCCCCCCGTTAGCGCCGGGGCGGCCAAGCTTAGGCTCGGTGGGCCAGGTAGCCGCTCACACAGGGTGGCTCCCCTCCAGAGCCGACCCCTCCCTTGTCCCTAGCGCCAGGTGACTAACAAGGCCACCTCCTGGGACCCTCTCCTCTTAGTCCCCACAACTGCTGGGCCCCCAGGACGGGGCTTGGGCTCCAGGGCCCCCTCCCCTTGGCCACGGGTGGCGGGAGAGCCCGGGGGCTGGCGGTAGGATTTTCCCCAGCCCTTCAGGGGGCCTCCCCCAGGAGCCCGAGGCGGGCACACCCTCCACCCAGTCACTCACCCTGGAATGTGGGCGAACCGGCTCCTAGCCCCAGGACGGCTCACATGCTCCCCTGCCCTGGGGGACACCTGGCCAAGGCTCCCGAGGGTGGGATGAGAAGGATGTTTGCCTTCACGGGGCTTCACATTGGGGACGGGCCGAGATAAGGAAGCCCTATAGGCCGGCCCTTATCTCCCGGTGTTGATGCCCCCGCAGCCGGCAGCGCGGTGGTGTTATGGGTAAGTGGGAAGGACTCCAGCTCGAGGTCAGGGCCTGGGAGGTGTTGTGGGGAGGAGCTGCAGTAGGACGGGGGCGCAGCCCCCCACGCTCTCCCCGGGAGGCCTGGTCCTGGGGGTATGGGGTGGCAAGAGCCCGGCCTCCACCCTCTACGAGGGCAGCCGCGTCCCGCAGGACTAGGGGGGCCGAAGGTGGAGACAGGGCCGGCAACGCAAGGCGGGGTCCCCGTGCTGGGCACCTCGAGGACTCACCACGCTAGTGGGGCCCAGGAGCGGCGGTCACGGCGCCCCAGACACCACGCTGGGCAGTCGGGGAGGCCTGTGGGCGGCACGTGGACGGAAGGGCCTGAAGGAGCCCAGGGCCGAGGACGAGGCCGTCACCCGCCGGCCCACCGCCTCCGTCCCCTAACTCGTGCGAGGAGCCTCCAGGAGCCTGTTTCGGGGGCTGCGCCGCGTGCTCTCTCCCAAGCCCTGCGCGGCGGAGGCGGAGGCCCGAGCCGATGACCTCCAAAGCCAAGGACACAGCCAAGGCGGAGACTCAAGAAGAGATAAATGTCTGGTGAGCCCCCCTCATCCACGGCCCAGCCCAGGCTGCCGGCCGCGGCGATGCCCGTGGGACCAGGACGCCGCACTCGGTGCCAAGCTCTCAACAGACTCACAGTTAAAATACTCACCCAGGGCGCCGGGGGGGGGGGGGCAGGACCCAGGCCCTGGGATCCAGCCCCACGCGCTACTGCTCAGCCCGCCTCTCCCTCTCCCTCTCCCTCTAAGGCTCCCCTGCTTGTGCTCTGTTTGTCAGATAAATAAATAAAAAATTTTTAAAAACACAAAACGACTTATCCAGGATCAAACGCAGGCGAGGCCCAGGAAGGAAGAGGCCAGAGGAAAAGACGCTACAATACACAGGTTTCAAGCAAAGGAAGAGATGAACAGGTGGTGCCGCACGCAGGGAATTGGGCTCCTTCATAGGAAGTGGGATGGGGCTCCCTTGCACGGCCCCCCACCACCCTGCGGCCCGTCCTTCGTCCTTCCACCTGCGTGTGCGCCACCCCCACCTCCTCCACCTGCGAGCTCCCCCCAGACAGGGAAGTGCTGTCAGCCTCTGAGGCCCCTCCCCTCCCCGCGACCTCACAACATCTGCTCCGCAGAGGGCACATGTGGAAGCAAGAAATTTCACACGTTACCTCCACCTTAGATACTTGTCACTTAAAAATGTTTATTAGAATAAAGATTAAACCTATAGCCCCTTGCATAGTATTTCAAGAATCAGAAAAGAAAATAAAAGGGGAGAAGAGGGGAAAGCAGGAGAGGGGAGAGCAAGGGAGGGCAGGGAGGGCAGGGGAGGGGACAGCAGGGGAGGGCAGGGGAGGGCAGGGGAGGGGAAGGGAGTGGAGGGCAGGGGAGGGCAGGGGTAGGATAAGAAAATCGTCTCTGCTCCTTCCAGGGAGCGGGGAGGAGGGAGAAGGCGGGGCCCTCACCAGAGCCAGGAGCGGCAGCCAGAGCCCTGGAAGGTTCTCTGGCCTCGGGACCAGCTGGTCCAGAGAAGTTTCCAGCAGAGCAGAGGCCAAGCACCACCGACACCCAAGCCCAGGGAACAGGCTTCTGCGCGGGGGAGTAAACACGGGGACGTGGGCCGGAGAACCGCAATGTGGGAAAGCCTGGAGACGCAGCGGCCGGGCCGCGAGCCTCTACGTGGCCGCGGGCGCCACGATCTGCTGGACGTAGTTGACGACGTTGCTGTGGAGCTGCTTGGCAGTGGCCGCGAAGGTCTCCCTGGCGAGGGCCTGGGCCTCCCGGCTGCCCCCCATCATGGCGCGGTACAGCGGGAGGGTATACTTCTGCTTCCCCTGCAAGAAACGTGGGGCCTGAGCACTGCTCAGCGAGTCCGCGGGCCCCGGGGCCTCGGCAGGCGCCAAGAGGGAGGAGGCTGTCAGCGAGGGGCCCCAGATAGGCGGCTCTGATGCTGGCGTCTTCATGGGGGCCAAGGGTCCCCGCGGGTGGATCTTAGTATCACCCCGACCCCTGCTAGCTCAGGGCGTCTACACTCCCCTTCTTCTTCTTCTTCTTCTTCTTCTTCTTCTTCTCCCTTTTTTTTAAGCTGGTCTCCCCAGCACGGAGCCCAACGCAGGGCCTGAGCTCAAGACCGAGATCAGACCTGAGCCGAGATCGAGAGTCAGCGGTTAACCGACCGAGCCACCCAGGCGCCCCCGGGGGTCTATACTCAACCCAGCAATGAGGACGGTCGGCACAGTGGGGCTCCCAGCTGGGAAGGCTGTCGCTGGGTGGCCACCAAGCCAGGGGCTGACCCACAGGCTGCGGCGGGTGACACGGGGGTCACGGGAGGCTCGACCCTTCTTCCCAGTGTGTTAGCTGGACCAGCTCGGACCCCTCAGGCCACACCAGCTGATCCCAGAAAAGCTCCCCAGCCCTGTAGGCTTCCCCGCCATGGCAAGGCCTTCCCCGGCCACCCTGAGCAGGGTCCTCCCCCCCCCACACCCCGTCCCACCCCCACCCTGTCCACAGAGGGGCAGACGGTGAGGCTCTACGCAGAGGACTGTGGCCGGGGAGGCGAGGGGCCCACCGCGTGCCTGAAGGGGGCAGGAGGTGGGGTCACTCACCTGGCTCTGGAGAAATTCCTTCACCTTCCAGAAATCCTCCTGGTGGTCATTCTTAAGGACGATCTGGCCCCATCGGAGCCGGAGCTCCGCGTTCCGGGAGTTTGAGACGTTCGGGTAGGTCTCTGCCAGTTTTTTCACATTCCCTGAAAAAATAACAAGGGTTTTTACTGGTGGTGTCGCCAGAGCCACGAGCCAGGGGCCTAACTCCACCCTCAACAGGCACGTGTCTGCCCACAGGCCCCCCGAAAGCATCGGGAACGACGTCGAGGGGTTCCCAACCGCCCACCTTACACCGTCCTGCTCACTTTGCTCCGGAAGGTAATGCCCAGCTCTCAACCTCACCTTCGTTTTTCTAAGGCTCCTCCACCAAACTTCCCTCAATGTAATCAGACCGTGTCCCCGTCCCGCTCTCCTCCCGGCTTCAAGCACAGGGATCCTCCTAACGTCTCCAGCGCCGTCTTCTCCCACCACCACTGAGCTGCTGAAAGCTGCCTTGGCTTCCACTGTCTCCTTACAACACCCCTGGACCCCTGGGTGCACGTTATCTCTGGCTGAGCAGCGACATGTGTTAGTGGCTGAGAGCTTCCGGGGCCCAGCCCCGCCGGCTGTTGGCTTCGTGGCCTCTTCGTGCCCCAGGTCACCCCGTCACACGGGGCTCACATCACAGCCCCCGGGCACCGAGCGGTCGCAAGGACTCAGAGGCGTGGGTGCGCGCGGGGCTCTGGGATCCCATTCCCCACGGCGCCCGTGCGGATGGCTGACGTCAGCCGGGGCGCAGCCCTGCCAGGTGCTTGCGTCCACCCGCCAGCACCCGGCAGGTGCCCGAGGGCAAGCCTTGCCTCCTCCCTGAGTCTCCCTCGCCCCTGATGTCAAGTCCTGTGTACGAGGAACCCTGGCGTTTTCACGTGGATTTGCCCCTTTCCCTTACCCGGAGGCAGAGGGGATCTCTGGAGGATCTTATCGAGGAAATAAACCAGCTGGTAGGTCTTCCAGGTGGAGATGGCCACAGCTCCGATGGCCCCCATGTCCAGCTCCTCGGTCGCCCACTGCTGGGCCAGCTCCTCGGCAGGCCTCATGAGGGAGTCCCCGGGGGAGAGGTCGGGGAGGTAGGGGGGCCAGCCAGGGCTATTCAACCACTGATCAAACTCAAGGCCTGTTCGGCAGAAGGAGAGAGGGGACTGTCGGAACTCCCCGGCAGCGGGCGCCACGGTCAACTCGCTCCAGCGGCGCCTGGACCTCGAGCTCCCGTCTGCGTCTAAGGCCCCAAACTCCCTAATACTGGACGTCACCTTGCTCCCGCAGCGTCCCGCTTACACCGACCCCCAGGGACCGCTGCGTCAACCGGAGCGCTCCTCTCCCTACCCGGACGGTGGCTTCGAGTCGCGGTCAGCGCTGGACCGCCGGAGCCAGGCCGTGACCGCTCTCCCGGCCAGGCCCGCCCACGTGCTCCCTGAGAGCAGCGGAGGAGCGCGGGGCTGCGGCTCCGGCCCTGGGAGGCTGCCCGGGCCCAGCCCCGCCACCCAGGCCTGGTACTCGCCTCTGGCGCCTCAGCTTTATCTGGAGCCCGGTCAAGGCAGGGCGAGGAGGCCCGTGTCGCGGGCGGCCGTGGGGGGACAAGGCAAGCAAGCACAGGGCGAGGGCTCACGCCCGGCGCGCAGCAAGCACTCAGTAATCATTAACCGCCACTAGCCACGGAGTCTCGCGACCTTGAAGCGGAGGCCTGGCAGCAGGGAGTGGGTGCCCGGGCCGAGCGGTCCCAGCGGTCGGGGAAGCCGGCGCCACCAGCCCCACGACAGGCTGACTCGGGGCGCCCAGCCTGAGCGGCCTCGTCCGTCCCAGGCCACCCACCGTCTGTCTCAGGGCGCAGGGTGGCCCCCGGGATTTTCCGTCCCTCGGACGGATGACGTGCGAGGCCGCCCATGCTCGCAGGCAAGGTGGGCCGGCCGGTACCGCGGCCCCGGGTCACAGCCCGCAGCTCTCCGGGCAGTGGGGTGGGTCATGGGTGTGCAGCCGCGAGGAGAACGGGGACAGATGGGAGACACTGAAGGAACAGAGTGGAGAAAGCCAGGCCAGGAGGACACGAGAGAGTCTCTCCGTGGACGGGGGCCGGGGCCCCGGGCTGGGCAGCTGCTCACTGCCACTTACCAGGACGCTGATTTAACGCTTCCCGCCCGCCCTCGTCTTCCCAGACGCAGATTAGACTCACTTCTCCACTATCTCCCAGGAGCCCACAGGCCAGCTCTCCGGCTCACCTGGAATGGAATCCACTCTCCTTTCCTTCAGCTCAGGGAAGTATTCCAAGTAGAATTCTAGAAAGTCCTCAGCTAAGATACTTTGGAATTTGAATTCATTAACATAGGCCTGCAGGGAGGGAGGTACTTTTCAGGCATTCTGGATCCCAGGGGGAGCACAGTCCCCCTGCTCCTCGGGTTCTCCTCCAACCCCTCGCCCCTTCGGCCCGCCTCTACCCCTGCACCCTCGCCCAGCTGGCTTCTCTGCGCCTCCGCCTTCTCCCCTCGACTCTGAGTTGACTGTACCTTGAGAAAAGTGTCAAACCGATCCTGATCACCCACCAAGTGGGCCAGGTATGACACAAAGCAGAAGCCCTTCTCGTAGGGGGTCTCGTTGTAGGTATCATCCGGGTCGACACCTAGCAGAGAAAGCAGACACTTGTAACCTGTCACTTGGGCTGTTCTTCTCCAGCTCCGGGTTCTATGAGTAATCATGGAAGAGGTCGGGTTTCAGCTTCCTCGGGTTCAGCAAGGCCAGGAAAGTTTCCAGGTCCATCTTGGCCCCTCTCAGGCCACTTCAAAGTTGATCTTAAGGGGTCATTAACTACGGACCTAATACGAGGACAAAGAACCGGCCTTCCAGGGGAACTGGCAGGTTTCCTTATTCCCGGGATTGCTGTGCTCCACTGGGCTCCACTGACTCTCGGGCTGAGCACAGGGCTTGGTGCCTTTTCAAGCCCTCTTGGTCACCAGCTACACTGAACCCCCTCCCCTCCCAGAACGACTGGTTGTTTCTACGAATGTTCTAGACCAAAATAAGCTAATGACCACTCTGCAGGGAGTTCATTTTCATGGTCGCTGGCACCGAGGAACGTGAGCTTAAATTGCACAGAAAGGTTTTAGATTAGTCATATGTGGAACTAAAGAAAAATGTCCCAAAATAAAAATACATGACCTTGGACAAGTCACTTGACTTGTGGGGTGCTCACTCACGTCCTCTGTAAAAGAAGGCAAATGCTCGACCTACAAAACCACAGGTCTCATTTGATAGAAAAAGGATGGCAAAGAGCCCTGTAAGACGATAGGGGCCCGTACAAGTGCAGAGCAATGGTCAAGTCACTACGAACTGCACAAAACCAGAAAGAACTCCCGTCTGGCTGGAGTGGCTGGAGTGGCTTCCCTTGAGTTGGCCTAGAGGCCAGGGAATGGCTAAAAAGAGCTCTGGAGGGCTCCGCCTTCCCAGGAGGGCATTCAAGGTGTGCACCGCTCAGCACGGAGCTCAAGTAACTTGGGGCTCCAAGCTCGGTCTCGGGGAGGGGCAGTCAGAGGCGCCTCCTGGACCTGGTTCGATCTTCACGCGGAGCTTGTTGAGTGGGTGTTCCTCGCCAGTGACCTCCATGTGCTGCTGAAGCAGGGCCCGCCCCGTGGCAGCTTCCAAGCAGGTGTAGGCAGAGCCTAGGGCAAAGAGAATCCTTGGAACCCTTAGGCCTCAACAACGCCCCCGCCCGAGTAGATTTTTCAGACAAAAAGAGGGTGTGCTGCCCCCTGGTGGCCACAAGGCCAACGACTGGCCGCCGAAGCTTCAGGGCATCACCACCCCCCACCCCTACGCCCACCCCCACCCCCACCCCCGGGGGAACCCCAGGCCCACAGGGGTCCGTGACCCAGAACCTGAATCCGTCCCTGGCTCCCTGCTGCTCTGGGCTACCCACGACGCGGTGAGCTCAGGCCCTTGGTCTCGCCCATACATGAGGATGAGGGAAACTCACACCTTTTCCTGGGACTGTTCCCCTTTCCCCATAAAAATATTTTAATTCATAGAAATAGTAATTTGATCTTCTATGAAAACAGATTCTTTTCACTTGGCTGTTCCCATCAGACAAGAGAAACTGTCACCCAAAATTTTTCCAAGGGTCTCTACATGTCCGTCTGGCTCTAGGGATGACACAGGGAATGGTGGAGGGGAAGGGGACCAGGCTGCGAACTAGCCACCTCTGCCACACTCAAGGTGCTCTGACTCTGGGCGAGCTACTCAACCTCTCTTAGGCTCAACTTCTTCATCTGCGCAGTGGGCTCACAGCATCTGCTTGCAGGACCCTCAGTGGCTGAGTAGGACAGTCACAAACAGGCTCCCGTTCCATCTACTCTGGATCAAAGCATACATCTGTACAAACTTTCGGGGGAGGGGGGTGCAATGGGCAATGTGTGCTAAAAAGCGTTTAAAATGTTCAGATCTCAGAAATTACATTCCTAGGAATTTACCTCCATTGAGATCATCTGAAACATAAACATTTACATGTAAAAAATATTTGTCAAAATATTCTTTCATTAGAAAATAACAGGGGCGCCTAGGGACGCCCGGGCGGCTCAGGGGTTGAGCGTCTGCCTTTGGCTCAGGGTGTGATCCTGGGGTCCCGGGATCGAGTCCCACGTCAGGCTCCCTGCATGGAGCTGCTCCTCCCTCTGACTGTGTCTCTGCCTCTCTCTCTGTGACTGTCATGAGTAAATAAATAAAATCTTTTAAAAAAATAAAAAGAAATATTATCCTTGTGTCTTCCTCTGTGTGTCCCTCTCCTAAAAAAACATACAAAAAAACCAGGGCCGCCTGGGTGGCTCTCAGGTTAAGTGTCCAACTCCTGATTTCAGCTCAGGTCATGATCTCAGGGTCGTGAGACTGAGCCCCACCATGGGCTCCTCGCACAGTCTGCTTGAGAATGTCTCTCCCTCAGCCCTTCCCCCTGCTCACACACAGTCTCTTTCTCAAAACAAAGAAGAAAAAGAAAAACCAAAAATAACCTAATAACTAGAAACTAAGTAAGTTAAGAAACATACTCTGTAGCTATAGAAGAAATTTTTTTTTTTTATGGAAGAAAATTTAATGACCTGGGAAAATGCTTAACTTTATCAAGTCAAAAAAAAAAAAAAAAAGGCAGTTGGAAGGTCTGATGATTCATACACCCACACAGGAAAATGCTTGAAAGGATATACACCAATTTTCTCTGAACACTGAGATTATAGGTAAACGTATTGTGCGTGCTTTCCCATATATTTCAAAATAGATTTTGATGTGAGAAATAATAAAAACAATAAATGTTATATTTTTAGAGTACCTGGTTTTCCATAATGAGACAATGTCGAGAAAATATCTTAAAAGCACACCTGGGCTCAATTTGGGGTTCTGGCCTCACCTGCTAAGTGGCTGGGGCACATTTCTCACACTTTTCGAGTCATAGTGAACTCATACATAAAATGGAGATAACATCTGTTTCATAGGGCTATCGTAAAACCATTAAATGACGTTATTTTTAATAAGGTGCCTGTACAAAGCCCGTATGTAGGTGCTCAATAGAAAGTCATGATTATAATGATCTTACAAGTCATTGTAAAACCGACCAGCTATCTGGGTGGACGGCGCTGGGCAATTCTCCTGGAGGGGTTGCCTGGCTGTTGGGAGAGCAGAGCATGGAGCGTGCCTTCAGCTTAGATGAGGGTTCACTCAGCCAACACGGAGGTCCTGAGACCACCCCCTCCACTCCCGTGCTTACTGATTTCATGCCATGCAACGCCACGGGGCTGCTTTACTTAGAAGGAACTTCTGTCTAGAGTCGGCCCTTGCTGGCCTCTCCCTCGAGCTTTCCGCACTACTATTCCTCCCTTCACGCCCACTTGTGTCCCGAAACCCCGAAGGAGATCACACCAGCCTCACAGGTGGAAGCCTGCGGCGCGGGGTCCTAGGCAAAGGACGGGCACCTGGGCGCTGGCTTACCAAAGAGGACAGTGGAGATCCTCCTCTGAGCATACATGGTGAAACCTTCATTGAGCCAGAATTCACCCCAGTTGGCATTGGTGACCAGGTTCCCAAACCAACTGTGGGAGATCTCGTGGATGATGACATCGGCCAAGGAGCGGTCCCCTGCTAGCAGGCAGGGGGTGACAAAGGTCAGACAAGGGTTCTCCATTCCTCCAAATGGAAAGGAGGGCGGCATGAAGAGCAGGTCATATCTGCCGAGAGAGTGGGAGGTCACAGACCCTGCCTCACCTCCCCAGGCAGGACTCTCGGTTCTGGGAGACGTAACCCTGGGCCCAGCACTGAAATGACACCCAGCGTCCTCCGCCCTCCAGCCAGCTCGCTGGGACCTCCCATTCCCCAGGTTTTGCTCTCTCGAAGGCCAGTCTCTGAAACCTCCCTGTTCTCCTTCCAAGCAGGGTATGGCCGTACCATCGGCTCGGTCAGTTAGCTCACGATGGCTCAGGTGGGGTCACAAAGATCTAACAGCCTTTTTTTTTTTTTTTTCTAACAGCCTTTTATCTGAGGCGGCTAAAGTCTGAAGACGTCAAAGGAGAAAACTGGGAGTGTGTGGCTGCTTCTAGCAACCAAGTCACAAAGGTCCCCTGACAGCGTTTCCCGGGCTCCACACTCAGCAGCTGGAAGGCACTTCAATAACCCTCCCTCTCGGGATGCCCTGCTCAGCAACAGTGAATGAGGCCTGGCTTATCCCTCCCTCTTGCTCGTCCTCCTCTCCTTTACTTCTGGGATTGGGAGCTGGCTCTGCTCTAGGAGACAGGAGAAGCAGCAGCACCAGAAGGAAGGCAGGGGGAAACCAGGGACTCGGGTTAACAAAAGACATTGGGATCGACGTGATACCACACCTTCCCCAGACGTAGGGTCCAAAGAGTTTTTCTCCTGTTGCCAGAAATTCTTCTATCACTCCATTGTACTCCTCCTTGGCAGCGTCAATCAGGCAGGGCTCAGCCCACACCCGGCTCCTAAAGACAAGAACACAGAAGGAGCAGGATGGTGCTTGGAGACTCAATCCTGAAAGCACCCGCAGAAACCTGGCAGTTGCATATTTGAGCCAAATGAATGTTGACACTGTGGCCAGCCACAGAGGCAGGAGGTGCAACGTCGGATCCCCTGCACGGGCCCGAGAGACTGCGTGCCACACCTGATAAATAAGAACCCAACACAGCGACAAGGAGGAACTGCCTCCCGTGAGCAACAGGCTCAAACTCACGGCGCCATAATTTTCTGTCTCCAACACCAAATGTGACCTTGTAAGTCACTGACCTCTCTGAGCCTCAGTGTGCCCATCTGTGAAGCGAGTGGGAAAGAGGAAAGAAGACAGCATATAAAAGCCCTTCATACAGGGGCTCACACAGTGAAAGCTGGTTTCCTCCTCCCCGTGGTGATTCTCACAACCCGGGGAAGTGAAAGCAACTCCAGGGGTAACCCCACACTAACGTTAATAGAAAAGTGTGACTATCAGGCAGCCTGGGGGGGGGGGGGGGGCTCAGCGGTTTAGCGCCGCCTGCAGCCCACGGCGTGATCCTGGAGACCCGGGATCGAGTCCCACGTCGGGCTCCCTGCATGGAGCCTGCTTCTCCCTCAGCCTGTGTCTCTGCCTCTCTCTTTCTTGCTCTGTATCTCTCATGAGTAAATAAAATTAAAATCTTAAAAAAAAAAAAGTGTGACTATCTGGGAATGGCAGTGGCAATTGTGCTTGTAAGACAGGATGTCTTTATTTTTAGGAGAGACACCCTGACTGGCTTGCTTCTAAATGGCCAAGCAAAACCAAAAACGAATCCACACCAAAAAACTGATATTAATAAATGAAACTAATATGGCAAAATGGATGAGCATGCAGGCGTTCAGTGCATTGCTTTCTCAATTATCTGTATGAAATCTGCAAAATAAAAAGAAGGGGAGGGGCGCCTGGGTGGCTCAGTGGGTAAGCAACCGACTCTTGGTTTCAGCTCAGATCATGAGATCGAGCCTTGTGTCAGGCTCTGCAAGGAGTCTGCTTGAGGTTCTCTCTCTCCCTCTGCCCCTCCCATTTGTGCTCTCTCTCTCTCTCTCTCTCTCTCAAAATAAATAAATATTCAAAAAAAAGGGCGGGGGAAGAAGGGGAAACATGGTGGAAAGGGGGTAAAAATCAAGATCTAGCCCCACAGAAAGTCTGGGCTGAGAAGGGAGATGATTAGCCCAAGGCTGTTCACTGAATTCAAGGATGAGCTGACCTCAGAGTTCAAGGGTCCTGTAGCCCAAGACTGCGCCCTGGCCAAGAGCTTCTGGATGTTCCACAGCACTGTCCTCCTACACGGACATACTGGATGGAGAAGAAGATGGCAAAGTAGACGGTTCCGGGTCAGGAGAGAGGGAAGGCTTCCTCCTGGGCCCTGCAGAGGCTCAGGGACTGTTCTAGCAGGAGGAGAAAGAGCAGGTGCTTCCCAAGTAGCAGACACAAGAGCCTAGCAGTGGAAACGGTACGTGCAGGTGAGGAGCCACCGACAGTCTGGGCCACTGGAGCACTCATCGTCAGACGGCGGATGGGGCGAGGAGGGGAAGGGCAGGGAGGGAGGTTCTCAGAGCTCCAGTCACAAAGGGCCCAACAGGCCACGTGACACAGCTGGACCTCCAGAGCCATGAGAGCACTGTATTTATTTTTATTTTTTTAAAATATTTTTTAAAGATTTTATTTATTTATTCATGAGAGACACAGAGAGAGGGAGAGACACAGGCAGAGGGAGAAGCAGGCTCCATGCAGGGAGCCCAACGTGGGACTCGATCCCAGAACTCACGACCTGAGCCAAAGGTCAAATGTGGAGCCCCCCAGGTGTCCCACCACAAAAGCATTTTAAACCAATAAGTGGTATTATCAGATTGAGCCCTGAGAGATCACTCGAGTGGCAGTACCCAGAAGATACCTTTAAATTACACAAGCGAGTACATATTCCCAAGAAAAGTATGTAGCAGAGGAGAAGGGGCCCAGAACAGGGTCTTGGGCGATACCAGCACATGGCGGGCTGGGCAGAGAAGAGCCCACAACAGAGACCAGGAGGAGGAACCGGGCAGTCCTGGAACTGGGACAGAATTGCGTCACGGGAGCCAGAGGTGGGTCAACGGAGGCGGAAGAAAAAGCATAGAAGGCCGAGACAAGGACTGAGGAGCCATGTGCTTTACATGGTGGGGCCAGTGGCCTCTCTCACTACAGGAGTTTCTGTGGCACAACGGGGAGAGGTGCTGGATTTCCACGGGTCCACGTAGTCCATGGGGGGTGGGTGAGCATAAAGGCTACTCTTCTAAGAAACCTGGCTAAGAAGGGGAGTGGAAGGTAGTGTGCTAAGAGGGAAGGTGGAGTCAATGAGTTTGCTTTTTGCTTTGTTTGGCACAGAACCAAGGACGGCTCAGATGCAGAGATCTGGCTTTAAATAGGATGGACCCCTCTTCAGAGTCCAGAGGGGAAAAGGGAAGGATGAAAATGACTTTTACATGAAAAACAGGAAGCTGACATAACCATATCTGATGCATTAAATATTCTCACTAAAGTAGGAGACAAGATATCTGCTTGGAGTGAGGGTCTGGTGTTTGAATTGGAAAATTGAAGACGAAAGTCTTCGTTTAAGGGCAGTCAGCTAGAAAGATAAATAAAAGGACTGGTGAGCAATATTGGAAGCTTATCTGTAGTTGAAGACTACGTTTGCTCTGTTTTTCTTGAAAACCACATGAATGTCTATTTCGACTTTTAATTCCAACTTTTCACCAAGAAACCAGAAATGGGTTGTAGAACCAGTAAGCACAGCTGCATTACTTCTCCTTCTCTCAGACACCCAGGTACAGAAGCAGAGAAGAGGGACAGTAGGCCCCGGGGCTAGAAGTCAGAGCAGCAGCACAGTTTGCAAGGTGGCCCCGGTGTTGGGAGGAGAGGATCAAGCCCACACCTGGGGCCACAGAGAAAAGATGGACCGGCCATGAGACGCTGGCTGCCCAGGAGGAAATGCACAGCTTGCAGGAATTAAGGCCTGGGTGAGCTTGCAAAGCAGATGTAGTGGGAATGAGGCCACCAGGGGGCCAGGAGGTCAAGAGGGTGAGGTCAGAGAATGAATGAGTGGAAGGTGTTTAAAATCACTGCCACAGACAGTTCACGCGAATGCCCTCGGCTAGGCCCCAGGCTGCAGAGCGCGCCCATGACTGTAAGGGGTTGAGTCAGGGGGAGAGGAAACCTGAAGCCACCCTCGATCCTGGGCGTTGGGACAGGTAATCCCGATGGAGAAAAAAGTCACCAAAGATGATGTGACAGCGTACCAGGCTGAGAAAAGACCATGATACAGGAGTAAGAGTCCTCAAGGAATTGCTTTGTGATCAGCTTGGATATCACAACTAGCAAAGTCCTTTATCCCAGGCCATGTCAGCTTGCTACCACTAGAAGGTGAAGGCCAGGCTAGACAGGGGGCATCCAAGATACCTCCTCCACTACACAGATTTCTGTCAAAACAAACTGGAATGCTCTCAGTCCAGCTGGAATTTTATCACCAGTATCTGTCGTAACAAGCACGGGATTTGCAACAGAAATGCCTCGGTTGGAATTCCAGTTCTGCTAACGATGTGACTTTGCACAAGCAATTCCACCAGAAGCCTCAGCGTGCTTATCTGTGAAATGGAGACAATAGTAACCTCCACCCCCATCCCCACCCTGAAGAGATTATACGTAAAATATGACTGAGATATATCCACCAACTCTTCTGCCCAGGACTTCCCTCCTGTGGTAACAGCCACTGGGACTGGCGGCAAAGATGACCTTCTCATCTAACTCGCCTTCACAAGACCCTAGGCTGTGCTCCAAGAGGCAAGGACCATCTGCCTGATAAGAGAAGTAATAAGCCATCAGCGCCAGTTAAATGGATTCTATCACCTGGACTGATGTATCATACTGTCGTTTTATTACAGACGGCTCAGGAAAAAAAAAATCAGCATTCTCTGGTGTGTTTGGAATACATTTTTCTTTCATTCCTCATTGATAGCTCATACTCTTACTAACAGAACCTTAGTAAGAGTAACTTCTCTAAAACGACTTTCCTTATCTATTTTCCTGTCAACTGCCAACGCTGACACTCCTTTGCTTATCTACTACCCTATGTGCCAGAAAGACTGCCCTTCATGGCAAGAGAGCACCTGCTCTTTCTAGACTGGTATTGTTTGCACTGTGTGTGCGGGGACACATGCCAGTGGCATCCCACCTATCATTCTCTCTGAAACCCAGGAACTAGGATTCATGATCTGAGCAGTGCTGCTGAGCCCAGCTCTGAAGTCTGACGCTTGTGACCAACGCCGTCAAGGATACCATCACCCCCAGGAGCTGAGAGGTCACAGCAACAGAGCCAGGAAATGCACCACAGCCTTACTATCCAACCTCTGATCGTTTTACATCAGGATTACACTGGACTGGCAGATAATATGAGAGCCAGGAAAAACCTACACTCCCGGTCAAGTTTCTTTTCGCAGGAAACCTTACAAAATCCTTCTTTATCGCCATCAAACCCATCTGATTTCCCGGAGGATCTCTGCCACCACGGGTTCAGGTTTATTCATCTGGAGCACACAAAAAAGGAGCTCCCACTTTCCTCTCCTGAGGCGAACAATGAGATCAAAGTTGTATATTTCCAGGAATTAAGTGCTAGAGAAAATGGGGAGGTTCGGTACAAAGATTAAAAAGCAAATACAATTGCTAGAAGGGAATTCAGAACTAAAAGATACTAATAAAGATCAGTCTTCTAAAACTTCTGGCTTGGTGCCTACCTGCACCCCACAAGGTGGCCCAGGACAGAAGCTACTGGTAGCAGGACTGATGACCTGATTCTAGACAGCAGGATTGGAGTGGGAGGGAGCAGGGAGGGAAGGCAGAAAGAGAAGACTTCCTCCCTCTGTACACATGCCACACGCCTCTGGGCTGCAGAGAGGCTGTCCATTCAGAGACGATGCAAGACTGTCCCAAGAACCATCCCAGCTGGGCCATTGGTCAGAGGCCTCCCGGCCTCAAGGTCAGTCCAACCTTGCCTGTGGGGGTCTTGTTTCCTACCTGGGTCCAACTTCAGCCGAAACCAGATCTCCGATGGCCAAAGCTATCAGATAGGAGGGGATGGGCTGACACATCTGGAAGAAGAACTTATTAGGACCTCTCTTCTCCCAGGTGCTAGCACTCATCACAGCTGTGAAGCCATCTGGGACCTGACAAGAGAGAAAGCTTAGGAGATTTTACCTGGAGAGTCTCCTGATTTGCTCGAAGAACAGCATGGCTGACAACCTGCATAGTGATAGCGATGACCGGGAGCCCATTTTGGAGAACAAAAAGGTTCAAGAAACTAAACTTGTGCTAAGCTGGTGGCATTTAACACAAATAAAATTCCTGTCCATGGGGGAGTTTTGCAGAGGTGCCACTGGATGGATGTAACAATTTAACAGCTGAAAGGTAATCAGATAGATCTGAAATTATATCTTCAATCCCAAGAGCAGGTGCACTTAACTTTAGCCCCCTTACCTCAACAAGAGCAGAATATCCGCATTTCACTGCAGGAGTGTCGAAGCAAGGGAAGAAGGCCCGGTTTAGGACAGCCTGACCCTGGGTATAGACAAAAGGCTTCTCCTTTCCTGCTGTCTGCTCAGGAGCCAACCAGCAAACCTAAGAGAATAAAAGAACATTTCAAAACTGACACCCCCTACATGAGCTCAGTCCAGCCAGAGAAAAGGAGCTGGCTGGCCTGGGAGAATTTTAGGTAATCCTTACAATCCTGGCAGCAGTTTAGCCCTGACTGGGAAGTTCTCTCCTACTGTGTATTTAATCCACCCTAGAATCCATGCCAAGGTATGGCGTCCACTTCACATGGTAGAAACACTACAAAGGGTCTGTTTCTCACATCCCATTGGGTATCTCAAGAGTTCCAGACATGGCCTCTGACCCTGGCATCCTATCTTCCTCCTCTGAGTCCTTCACACTGTAATAGTTTCTCGTTAAAAAAACAAACAGGGACGCCTGGCTCAGGGTTGAGCGTCTGCCTTCGGCTCAGGTCATGACCTGGGGTCCCGGGATCGAGGCCCACATCGGGCTCCCCGCAGGGAGCCTGCTTCTCCCTCTACCCACGTCTCTCTTTCTGGGTCTCTCATGAATAAATAAATAAAATCTTAAAACAAACAAACAAACAAAAAACCAATGAGGAAGCAGCTGTATTTGAACTTGTGATAAAAGGCATAGAAATGCAGAAATGAAGTGGGAGGAGTCTGTGATGAATACATGTTCTCCATTCCTGAAACTTACCCTTTCAGAATAGATGTATACTATAGGCATTGGCTATATATAATTATTTTTTTCTTTTAAAGATTTTACTTTTAAGTAATCTCTGCACCCAACGTGGGGCTCAAACTTACAAGCCCGAGATCAAGAGTTGCACATTCTACCACCTGAGCCAGCCAAGGTGCCATGGCTAAGAAGTATATACTTCTTAATTTGTTTCCTGTTAGCCTTTAACAAAGAGCAAATCTGAGTGATTATCACAAACCCAATTTTTGCCTACAGCAAAAAGTTCACTTATAACATAGCTATAACTGGAGGGGGGGGAGGGTTTGCTGGATATGTCAGCACCAAAAGCCACTTAGAATTTAGAAGCCGATTACATAACTCTGGCAACCTTTCATACGGGAAGCGAGACTTTCTGGTTTAAAGATGAGTAGGACTGAGATGGTTGGAAGGGAGAAAACATTCTTAAGGCGGTGGAGAGCAACATGAAGAAAGGCACGGACGGGCAGGTCTCTGGGAACTGGAGGTAGGTTTCAGATACAGAGGTGGGGGGCATGCGTCGGCAGGTGGAAAGGCTTTGAACACGGGTATTTGAGACCTGCTTTTAAGAGGCATAAGGACAGCACATGGAGATGCTGGCTTTTTATTTGCTTGAGTTTCTTTTGTAGTGTGTGTGAAAATGTCAATGAGTCTCCTTCCAAAGAGTATAATACAGATGGAAAGGAGGAGAAAGAAATGTCACAGTGCAGAAACAGCAGTGTCTCAGCCAGGTGAGTGAGGTCACCATCAACCAGTCACAAATTATGTTGATACTATGTATTCTCAATATGATGTGAAGACAGCACTGTACGTTTGGGACATTCCATGAAATTTTGCTGTGAACCTAAAATTGCTGTAAAAAATAAATTTTATTTTTTATTTTTTAATAACCCCTGTCTGATCACGGGAAAGACAAATTCCAACAGAGAGGCATCCTACAATACATCAGACCAATACTCAGAACTCTCAGGGTCATCAAAAACACGGAAAGTCTGAGAAATTTTCATAGCCAAGGGGAGCCTAAGGATACATGAGAGCTAAAGATACTATGGTATTCTGGATGCGATCCTGAAACAGAGAAAGTATTAAGTGAAAACTAAGAAAATCTGAAGAAGAAGAAAAAAAAGCTCTGAGCTTTAGTTAATAACACTGTATCAGTATTGGTTCATTAATTGTAACAGATGTGCCAGACTTGCAAAATGCTAATAGAGTAAACTGTGTGGAAGGGTATATGGAAACTGTACTATCTGCTCACTTTTCTCGTTAATCTGAATGGTTTTTAATCTTTTTGGATAGATTCTCAAGCAGGCTCCACACCCAGCACGGAGAGCGAGGGCACCACAGGGCTCAATCTCACAACCCTGAGATCATGCCTCAAGCTGAAATCAAGAATTGGGCCACTTAACTGACTGAGCCACTCAGGCACCCCTAAACTGTTTTTAATTATATTAATGAAAGAACTTTAATGAGTTGACAATAAGAGCTAACACGCAGTATTCACTAGGTGCCAGGCACTGTTTCAGGCACTTAGACAAAGATAACTCATTTAACTTCTGTCAAGCATATAGACTAGTACCTGGCACATTTTAATAAACACTGGTCATCCTCTCCGCCATACCGTAAGTCCTTCACCATCGTCTTTAGTTGAGGTTTTTTTGTTGTTGTTGCTTGTTTATGATGACAGGGGAGAGAATGAAGGAGGCTGGTAGTACAAGTACTTCCACTATGTAAGAAGGAGTCTAAAGTCAGGGTGCCGCTGTTACCTACAGTGATTACAGGGAGAGCTCTCACTTAGGATGGTGGCCATGAGAAGGAGGAATACATACAAGTGCCTTGAATGTAGTGCGAAGTGGGAATCTCCGCTGTTAGGGCTCTGATGAAAGCCATTTAGTACTGAGTCTAACATGAGGTGCCACTTTCAGAGAGGGCTTTACTTTTCCAGCTATCCTGTTTAATTCCTCGTTCCCACCCCAAGCCAGAAACTAGAACATAACAGGGCAACCAAATGCATTTACTGATGTTATGTTATCCTTAGAGGGCACTGGGTTTTTTTTTTCTTTGGAGCCTTAGAGGTTAATTGGGATTGCTTTGGACTTCTCGTTTTTCAAACAAGTTCTATCACGGGCTCATTTATTCCCTGAGTAGTTAGTTGCAGATGGAAACAGGACTGCCCTTTGAGCCAGCTCTAAGCGAAAGGAACTGCTAGCCAGGTAAGCAGACTTCGATGGCAGGCAGGGAGCCTCCCGGGGACACTTGCAACCGCAGCCTCGGGACTCTCTAGGAAGGAGCTTCCAACTCTTACAAACGCAAGCCAGATAACCATCCATCCTTTTACTTCCCATATCTGCCCCCCACCCCGGAAACGTAGTATTTAAGAGTCCATCAGTATTCGAGTCAGTCAAGAGTAGTAACAGGGCCAAGTCATGACAAAGCCTAGTGCAGCCTAGTTGTAGTTCCCGTTTTTACTCAAGTTCTTCCGTTAAACAAGCCGAGGACTTTGCAGAAGAAAAGGCGACCGCCGTCTGGGGTTCAGGGTCGTCTCGGCCCGGGGCACCGAGCGCCCAGGGCTCATCAGCCGGCCGCGTCCAGGGCTGCCGCACGGGAAGAACTGCAGCGGCTCCCAGGGACCTAGGCCCAGAGCTCAGGGGGACGTCCAGGTCGCTCTGGGAGCAGCCGGTTCTCCGGAAGGGCGCGCAGGGCAGGGGCGCGTCTGCGGGGGCGGGGGGGGGCGGCAGGCAGACGCGGGAGCAGCGCGGACAGGCGGCCAGAGCCCAGGCGAGGAGCGGCGGGGCCGGGGCAAGGCACGGAGGGGGCAAGGCACGGAGGGGGCAGGGCGGGAGGGGCGCGGGAGCGCGGGGCGTGCCCCGGGCGGGGCTCGGCATCGCCCTCGGCCTCCCCCTGGGGCCGGGCCGGGCCGGGCCGGGGCGCACTCACCCCGGGTCCCTCCCCGACGCGGTAGCTGAGCAGAACCTGGAAGCGCTCTCCGGGCGGGCAGGGCCGCGGCAGGGCCACGCACAGGGCCTGGCCGTAGTGCGAGAAGGGCTGCGCGTGGAAGGGCACGGGCTCGGCGGGCGGCTCCCCCGGGCCGGGCCGCAGCCGCCGCAGCGTGGCCGCCGTCACCTCCAGGCACGGGTGCGCGTCGAGCCGCAGCTCGGTGGCGCCCGGGGACAGCAGGCCGCGCAGGTCCAGGACCGCCGTGCCGCTCAGGCCCCTGCTCCCGGGGCCCGGGCCCGGAGGCCCGAACTCGGCCCGCAGGTCCAGGTGCAAGTGCAGCATCTCGAAAGCCCGGAAGTTGGAGGCCGAGGCCACGTCCACCGCCTGCGCCGAGTGGAGCGGCCGCGGGGCCGCCGAGGGGCCGCTCGAACCCCCGTCGCTCGCCATGGTCCCGCCGCGCCGTTGAGCCGCCCCGGGGAAGCCCCGCCCCGGGGAAGCCCCGCCCCGCCCCGGGGAAGCCCCGCCCCCGGCGCGCAGGCCCCGCCCCCGAGCGCGCAGGCCCCGCCCCCAGGGAGGCCCGGGCTGGGTCACGCCCCTCCCCAAACCCCGAGACCTGACCTAACGCCCCGCCCCGCCCTTGCTCTCCAAGTCCCCAACTTCCAGCCTGTCCGGGGTACCTGAGCACCGTGGGCGGAAAGGTACAGTGGGATGGTCCGGTCCACAGTTGTCCAGGCTCATCCTACTGCGCTGTTGCCCTCGTCCCGAGTAGCACACCTTTCTCTGCGGACGTTTCGGTTCCCGATCTTCCAGGAAGGTAGCGGGACGTGGATGGAGCCCTGGGTTGGAAGAGTCTGAGTTTGAGATCTCACACTCCGCGCTGGACCGATCATTAGGGCCGTGTGACACCTTGGGCCAATCACCCCCGACAAAGGTGAACCCCTCCAAGCCCCTTTCTGCACCTGTAAGATAGGAGTAATAGCTCAGGAGTTAATTGTGAGTTCTCGATCCCACAGCAGATCAAGGTTCATCCCCTGGAGCTCCAAGCACACTTACCTTTCCTTCTTCTGCCAAGGAATGGTGAACCCGCACATTAGGGCGTGATGCTTGGCTGTCCGTCCTGTGAGTTTTATTTCCCCTATTGAATTGTAAAGCATATTGAGCTAGGGGTACCTTTGCCTTATATTTTGTATCTTTTCTGTATGAATAGGGTTGCAGTAGCCCTTCTGTGAATAAGGAGTTAGTCAATGATATTTTCACTGATCAGGTGGGAAATTAGATTTTTAAAAAGACAACATAGGAAGTTTTTCATAAAAGGTAATAGAATCCTATCATGTGTCACCTACTATTATAGTGTTGAAATTTTGTTTTATGAAATGCTTATGGTAATTTTTTAAGAATTCCATATAAGGTCACTGTTTTAACTTATTAGTGAAAAAAAATCTTTTAACTTATTAGTGAAATCCAAGTTTCTTTTTGAAAAAGCAACTTTTCTGCGGCATTGAGCACAGTAGTTGGTAACAGACTCCCAATACAACTGCCTCCAAATTATTCATTCCCTGATGCAATGTGTTTTTAGTTGAGCATCAACTATACACCAGCCACTAGGTTGGGTGTTGGGGATACAGTTTTAACAAATCTGGCACAGTCTCTCTGCTGGTGGTGTTCACAGTCTAGCTCCCATTTTAACTTACAGACAAAAAACAAAAAAACAAAAAACAAAACCACATCATGACAATTCCATGTGCTGTGCTATTCTCTGAGAAGAACAATATGCTGTGGAACACAAGGGAGAAACACACAGCCTGATCTTTCCAGTTAAATATTGCTGGAGCAAGAAGCTGTGGGAGAAAATATTTATGGAGTTAGGTTTCTTCTTTTAGCCTTAATTTCTTCCTCAGTGTATTCCCACTGTTCCCATTTCTGCTTCCCTGCATGGCTCCCGGTTTCTGGTTTACCTCTAGATGGTTATCTGCAACAACTCACAGCAGATTCAGAAAGGCCTTCTACTCTGTAGAAAGACACTGTAGACACAACCCACCTCTCCCCCAAACTGCTTTCATTATTGATTTACTTACTTTTTAATGTTTAGAATGCAACACAGCTTGCATATTTCAAAATAATAGCTTAAAATCTTCTAGAATTAATGAAAAACGTAGTTTTATAGGTTTAAAGGTCAAAACCAATTCCAAACAAAAAAAAATCTACATATAGACATGTTTTAGTAAAATTGAGGAAGTCTAAGACATAAAGGAAATCTTAAGAACAACCAAAGAAAAAGAGAGATTACTTATAAAAGAATGATGATTGGAAATTGGACTAACAGCAGAGCTGTGATTAACAACAATGGAAGCCAGAGGTATTATGTTCAAAATACTGAGAAAAAAACAACTGTCAACTGAGGATTGTTGACTAAAGGAATTACCTGAAGAAGGAAAATGTTCACACAAGGAAGGAATGAGATACAGAAAGCATAGGAAAAAAAAAAAAAAAGGTGAGTTTAAACAAACATTGTATAAAACAATTATAATAATATATTAATAATGTTTACATGAGGGAATCAGAGTGAAACAAGAATATTAGCCAAAAAGAACATAAGAAGAGAAGCAGTGGCTGGAGTTAAACCATTCCAAGCTGCTTGTATTATAAGGAGGAGAGTAGATTTAGAGATAAATATGGGGTTTTCTTAAGTATGTGTATTAAGATTTTAAAGGAAACCACCTAAAGAATATAATTCGAATGCAACTCACAAAACAACAAATAGGGAAAATATGGAATATTTTTTAAAATTAGGAAAAAAGAATAAGACCAGGACAGGACAGTAGTTACCCCAGTTGGGGAAGGCAGCAGCCTAGGATGGGGAAGAACTCATAAATACCTAGAAGCAAATTACCTGTCAGTGTTCTAGCTCTCAAATTGGGGGAATGTACCTAATAATATAGCCTCAAAATAAATAAAATTAATAGAATTACAAGGGGAAAATGGACAAACTCACCAACAGAGAGGTCTCACGTATCTAAGTAATTAACACTCAGACAAAAGTTATACAGACATAAAAGATCTGTACAGAAATGTCATGATCTTGACCTGATCAACACATACCAAACCTTGCACCTAACAATCAGAGAAAACACACAGTTTTCAAACACATTTAAGACCATTACAAAGACTAATCATAGATGGGCCATGCACAAGTCTCAACAAATCAAAGAATCAATGGCGTACACAACATTCTTCTAACCACAATGAAGTTAAAACCAACGTTGGGAGACAGTGATCCACACATCTTGCAAAAGGAAGCACTGACTGCTCTTTGTTCTAGACGATCTTTTCAAGTCCGTTTGCATAGTGAACTTTGCAAGATGGCGACTTACCCTCCCTCTGAGGGTAAGTTTGCTTACCATAGTAGTTCTCAACTAGGGGCGGTTTTGCCCCCTAGAAGAAATTTGACAAGGTCTAGAGACATATTTAGTGGTCATGACTGGGAGAAGAGGTACTACCAGCGTGCAGTGGGCGAAGGCCAGGGATGCTATAAACACCCTAGGATGCACAGGGAAGATCCCCACAACTAAGCGTCACCCAACCCCAAACATCCACAGTGGCGAGGTTGATCAACTCTGGCTTCTTAGAAGATAGAGTGTCTTCCTTTGGAACAAAGAGAAGTCATGCATACTGTCTATTATAATAAAGGCAATCCCTCCATTAAAGCAAAGAACAGTGATGCTACTGCCCACTGTAACAGGTCCAGGTTTGCTAAGCTCCTTCTCCTATAATGCAACCCATTCCATATGCAGGCTTCCTTCGGGATCTACCCATGGGACTTGGGGGCAAGGGCAACGGTACGAATGATGATCCTCTGGGTATTGCTACTGCTGTCATCATCTGTCCTTTGTTTCTGAACTCTACAAATATAGTGTTGAGTGGAAAGCAGAACTGTGGGATCCCTGGGTGGCGCAGCGGTTTGGCGCCTACCTTTGGCCCAGGGCGCGATCCTGGAGACCCGGGATCGAATCCCACGTCGGGCTCCTGGTGCATGGAGCCTGCTTCTCCCTCTGCCTGTGTCTCTACCTCTCTCTCTCTCTCTCTCTCTCTCTCTCTGTGACTATCATAAATAAATAAAGAAAAAAAATTAAAAAAAAAAGGAAAGCAGAACTGTGTAAGAATACATACAGGATATGCTATTTATATTCTCTTAAAAATGGTTTAGTAATAGCTGCAAATACAGCAAAAATATAAAAACATCTGACTTCCACTAGGGGATGTAGGGAAGTTTTTTGTTTTTTTTTAATAAAGATTTTATTTTTTCATGAGAGACACAGAGAGAGAGGCAGAGGGAGAAGCAGGCTCCATGCAGGGAGCCCGATGTGGGACTCAATCCTGGGTCTCCAGGATCACACCCTGGGCCGAAGGCAGACGCCAAACCGCCACGCTACCCAGGGATCCCTATAGGGAAATATTTAAAAAAAAAAAAAAAAAACTCATCCTCTCAAAGAAAAGACTAGATAAGCTACAATCTACAATATTTCTAAACCAATCAGAGAGTTGTAGTCCCAGGACAGCCTACTGGCCAAGTATCTAAGGAGAGGCAGGCACCAGAAGGATGAGCAGAGTAGGGTTGGGGTAGATGCGACCAGCCACTTGTAATAGTTCAGGTAGGATGGTTAATGAATTGGTGAAGGCCAGATGTGGGCTAGTGAGCTACCAGAGGACCGAAGAAATTGGGAGGTTGTGCCCTCTTATAGACTTT